CGGGGAGAGCGGAACAGGCCCCGGGCCGTCCCTGCCGCCCAGCCGGGCTGGGGCGGGAGGCCGAGCGGGATCCCCGGAGCGGGGGAGGCAGGGCAGGGCGGCGGGGCGGGGGAGGGGGCGGCCGGGCGAGCGCTTTTACCTTCGTCCAGCAGCCTCTCGAGGTGGTTGAAGATCCCGCAGAAGTTGGGGAGGCTGCTCATCAGCTTCTTGTCGTTCATCAGCTGCATCAGGTAATCGGGGCTCGGCTTCGGCTTCTCCTTGGTTTCCATTTCCCCAACCATATTCCAAGCCCGCGCAGAGACGGCGAGCGCCCGCAGCAGCTCCGCCGAGCAACGCGACCGCGGCACGGGGCGCCCGGCTGGATCCGGGCGGGCAGGGAGGCGGTGGGGGAGGGGAGGGGGCGGGGAGGGGAGCTTCCCCGAGGAAGGAGGAGAAGGAGGAGGATTCAAATCCGGAGACAGACGCAGACCCGCCGCTGAGTCCCAGGGACCGAGGGGGGGGAAAAAAAAAAAAAAAAAAAAAGAGGAAACTCGGTAGAAACCCCCGTGCGGGCTGCGCCCTCCTCCCCGGGCACAAGGACCCGCCGCCGCCTCTCGGTGCCGCCGCCGCTTCCCTGCTCCGTGCGCCCTCGGCCGGCGCAGTCCTCGGTGTGTCCCCCCTCCTCCTCCTCCTCCCGCGCACACACACGCTGAGCCCGGTTCTCCTCTCGGCGCTGCCCCCTGTCTTCGCGGCGGGGGAGGGAAGGAGGGGACGCGCGGGGCGGGCGGGCGCTGCTGGCGCGGCTGCCGCTTCCGAGGAGCCGCCGCCGGTGTCTCCCCGCTGTTGCCGCCGCCGCTGCTGCTGTTGTTGCCGCCGCGGTGCGCTTGGCGTGTGTCCTCCTCCTCCTTCTCCTCCTCCCGCCCGCCCGCCCTCCTGCCGCCGCTGCTGCTGCTGCTGCCGCCGCCTGTGGCTTGGTGAGTCTCAGCCCCGCCGCCGCCGCCTCCTCACTTCTCCTCAGTTCGCTCCGGAGTTCGCTTCAGTTCAGGCTGCGCTGGCAGCAGCGGCGGCGGCGGCAGGAGGGGAGGGGGCAGGGCCCACGGGGGTGGGACATGCCGGGGGTGGGACCAGGGGCGGGGCGGCCGCTGCCCGGCGGCGGTGGCGGTGGCAGCGCCACTTGGCGGAGCCGCAGCTGTGCCTCCCTCGCTCTCTCCCTCTCTTCCGCTCCGGGAGCCCGGGGCGGCGGCGGCGGGGGGACAACCAGCTTCCCGTGCGCCCCCGCCCCACCCGGCCCCGCCCCGCCGCGCGGGAACACGAGCGCGCGCACGGAACTCTCCCAAACAAAGTCGCGTCGCGGCGCCTTCGCCGCCAGGGCGGGGGCGGGGCCGGGTCACGTGCGTCCCCGGGGGCGGGGACAGCCCCGCCGGGGCGCGCGTGTTCGCGCCGCTCCGTGCTGCCCTGGTGTCGCGCGGCGGCGGGGCCAGGGAAGGGGGAGGGGGCAGGTGTGCGCGGGGGCTGCGCGCGCGCCTGCGCACGCGGGCGGTGGGCGGTGCGGACGGCGCGAGGAGCGATTCCCGGTCGGTCCCGGGGCCGCGGGGGCGGGCGGGGAGCGGGGAAGCCTCGGGAGCGCCCCGGTCGCCATCGGCGAGCAGGAAGAAGCGGAGCTGGCGGGAAGCCGTTCTCCCTAGATGCGCGGAGCGAGTCGGGGTCTGTCCGTGCAGGCGGCGGCGGCGCGGCCGCTCGCACGGCCCTTGTCCCGCACGGCCCCCCTGCGGGCACCGCGCAGCGGCCGCGCAGGCCGGGCCAGCCCGCGGGTCCCGTCACGCTCCTGCCCGCCCGGGCCGCGTCGGCGGGGCCGCTTGGAGCCCTTTCTGCTCGTAGGGCAGCGCCGCGTTTGGGTATCGGCCGTGTCTTGTTTGGCGGGTGTGTATGGGAGACGTGCTAGGAGCAGCGGTGTCCGGCAGCCAGGACCAAAGTTAATATGCTCCATCCACTGCAGCTGCAGGGGCAAAACAGCGCGGCGCGGTTGCTTGTACGTATTTCTCCTTCCCCACGCAGCTACTCGGTGTTGTTACTTGGTTTTTATTACTTAAGAGATCATCAGGAAGCTTTGATGTAGTTTTCGATAGCTTGGTAGAGAGTTTGTCACAAAGCTAGATAAAAATCGGTGCATTCTTCATATAGCTAGCTGAAGACAGTCTTTTTTAACAGGGCTGGGGCTGTTGCTTGAAGTTCTGTGAAAAATTCAAATGTATTTCAATACATACTGTACGGTATTTGAAGATAGATTAATCACAATGAACCAATGCTTCCAAAACTAAAAAGAAACAGACACGTCACGTTGACAGGTGCACAGTGTCATTGGGTAATGTCAAGCAGGGTTAACTGCTTTTCCTGAAAGATGTGCATTGACAAAAATGTAGAGAAAGCATAGTTCTCGAAATAGTAAAAATGCCTTGGATTATTGCATTCCATCTAGTGTTTATAGTATATTTCCCCTTTAAACAGGCAGAGCTCATTATTTGGACATGAGAATTTTTATTTCATTTCAGGGGTTTGTTTACATTAAGTAAAAATTAATGGTTTATGTAAGGTAAGTCAATTTTATTGCTTCCATCATTGAAAGAAATTATATAGTCAGTCAGAAAACATTATCTTTGTTATCAAAAAGTAGCAATGTTACAAACCATTTTTTATAATATAGGTTCTTAGTTCATCAGTAGCATGCCCACAACACAAAACATTGCGGTTCCTATTTAGTAACATGATTGTGTTTGTTCTTTTCCAGCCTTGTTTTAGGATTGTGAGAAGCTAAAATACAACTTTACATGCTTAAGAGAATTGCCATCCTTTTGCTTCTTGTAGACCAGTCTGGACGATGATGCATTTTTGTAGCCCTTTACTCACTGATTTTTAAGCAGTGAGTGAAGGCTCTTTTTAACCCTGAGAAAACATGCTGTCAAATCCTTCCATTTGATTAAGGGCATCCGTCGAACAGCAAGCTTTCATCCTAAAATTAGATAAATGTCGATGATGTTAGAATAATTGTTCTGGACTGATGATTCTCACAGTAAAAAGAGCATATGGAGACTTTTTTTTCAGCAGATTTGGTGCAGCTGTTCCCACACCACTTCATTATTGCTTCCAGCACATCAAGTGTTTCCAGTGCTTGAATAGGAGCAAGGTAAGAAATACCAGCACAAATTGTTGTGCAGTAACTATCAGTTGTCTTACCTACTAATAGGAACTAGAGAGCTTATCATATGTTATTTTGTGCTTATTTACTGGAGAATGAAATGGTGCACACCAGCAGTTGAGGAATCACTCATGCAGCGCAATGCAAAATTCAAGCCCTAGTTTGCTATATGTTAATCTGAATTATTTTCTTAGAACAGTACAGAAATTGAGACAAAGCTATATGATAAAGCTGCCCATTTAATTAGGCATAAATGACAAAAAAAATTCATATCCTTTATTTTTTCTGTAAATACTTCAAGACTGTGAATTTAAATCTTTAGAGAAAAGCCTGTGGAAAAGCTGAGTGTTTTAATAAAATGCAGATCATTCAGCATTAGTTTTAAATAAGCAAATCAGCACGATATCTTTCTTTATCAAAAACACAGTAAAACCAAAAAAGCTACCTAAAAACCCCTCTCAGCATACCTTATGTTCTTCTTTCTGCCTTTACCTTCCCACACTTCCACATCCTAGGAAAGGGTGTTTTAAGAGTTCCAAGGAGATGAAAGTAGAATTAGTTCTGGTTAAAGAGCTGTGAGAAGGTATAGCTCCCATCGAGACTGGCATGACTACAGCCTGATCTACAGAGGCACTAGAAATACTCTTACACTGTCTTAATTTTCCTGTGTTCCCATGGGGAAAGAAGGCAGGGGGAAGGACATGACGCAGGACTGGGTAAACAGGTTCTGTGAGTATGGGTGAGAGGTTGTGTGGTCTTGATGTCAAGGGGAAGGGGAGGGGGCAGAAAGAGAGAAGTTGATTAGTCTCTTTCAAGATAATCAGGTCCTGTGGTCTTGAAGGGTTCTTTAGGTAAGTACTCAAGGTCTTAACTTCAGTCTAGACACAAGCAGAAGTCCCTATCTTTAACTCTTGTGTTTTCATCTAGGTGGCCTTTCTTGTATCACGTAACCTGTAGTATTCTCCAACAGTTTCTCTTTTAAGGTGAAGTTTCATTGCATTAATCTAATCTCAAAGTTAGAAAAATTATGATAATGTGAGCAGCAGCCTCTATATATTACAGTAAAGGTCTGCAATGATCATAAAAAGCAAATTCAATTACTGCTATAATGTTCATAGCTGATAACACCTTGGAAATGGGAGATCTGAAGGCTAATGACTCCTGGGAAGCATACTCATTCAAAAGTGTTGGCTATTACTTCCAGCATCTCCGTTGACCAAATCATAGGCATATACTGTTGGATGTTGTCACCCTTCTGCAGTGCTGTCTGTATTAGGAAGATACCACTGTGCTATACTACCCTTCTTTAGGGAAAGAAACAGTTCTTCACTTAACCATTACAGTCACTTGAAAAACAAACCCACACTGTGTGTGTGATTCATTATTGACTCGTTCATAGTGTACAAGGTTGTAGCTACTGTAACTGTAATGCAGTAGTCAGACATGCCCAATACCAGATGAACATTTGAAATTCATTTATCTTTTAAGCAAGGTGCTTAATTCAGTAACAGAATAAGGTCTAGAGCCAGACTAAAAATCTTGAGAACCAATTAGATTGAAATTCTGTGCAGTGTCTGACAATGAAAAACATATTTCTCTTGACATTAAGCCAAACCAACAGGTAACTTTTCAAACAGAAGCTATAGTAGCATGTCATTCAAAGTAATAAGCAGATGATGTGTTCATAGTCTAAAAAGGGACATTTCTAGGTGTTCTGTGTAATCCTGGAAGAGATAATGCCTAAATTTGTCCACTGGTGATGTTAAGTCATTGCTGAAGAAGTAGAAGATACAGGTTTTAAATACACCTGAGTCTGGAAGGATTCAGATTTGTATCTTTTATACTTAAATTACATCAAGCTGTACAACTGTGAAGAAGGGTGTAGTAACCCATAATATCACTCCTGGTAGAACTGGCTATTCCTCATGTTGGAATAAAGAAGGCAGAAAAAGAGATACCTTTGTGATTCACCCACTTATACAAGAGTAGGAATTGCTGCAGTCTCAGTGTTCCTGTGGTTGTGTATTAATTATGCGGTCATTAAGCTGGAAAGAAAAGACAATGCTAAGTAAAATAAAAGAAGTATTTTTCCACCTTTGACCTAAATCTTGTACCTGGCAGTTTTCTTGGTAAGGTATTATTTCATATACCTTATGTTACTGTTGTGGGATAGTGTTACATAGACAGAATGGAGAGGCCTAAATTCTGCTTCCTATAATATTAAGCATTTTATGTAACTCTGTGTAGTTAGGGAAGGCGTGGGTATCTCTGTTTTGGGCTTCACTTTACCTATCTGCCAAACAGTCATCAGTATGCACAGAAAAGATGTAAATCAATATATAATAGATTACATCTACTTTCCAGATTACCATAGAATGATTGCCTAGTAGATTGTACTTTTAAGTAGATTATTTCCATGGATATGCAATGGCTGTACATGCAGTTTCTTTAAGTACTATGTAGGCTTTTCTCCAGAAAAGATAGCATTCTAGCAACAAGGAAAGGTGTGTCTGTCTAGAGAGGGTGGTAGTTCTGCTGTACTCTTGAGAAATCTCTGCGTTGAAAACAAAGTTTAAATTGGCTACATTTCACATTCTTCAGTAGGAGATGAAAATGAAGTCTCATGTATGCTAGTTTTATTACGGTGTTGCTGAGAAAGGCAGAAAACAGTGAGAAGGAGGGAAAGAAAAGCAATCTGACAAGGCATAGAAAAAAAAATACCAGCAGTTACAGAGAGAAAACTAAATTGAGGTAGTGCATTGTAAACATAAAATTTACCCATTTTATCATCTCCTTCATAACAGCACTTAAATTTTAAAAGCCGGGGGGAAAAACTATTTACAGAACATATTTGAATCCTGTATTTTGAAGGTGTGTTTTACCTCTAAGCTCATAAACATTCCTACACCTTATAATTTATGAACACTTGCATTGTTTTAGTGCATTTTACTGTTGGATTATGAGTAATCGATGCTCTGCCTAGGTCAATAAAAGAGGCAAAGTAATCTCTTGAAATACACCATGCACATTTCCAGTGGTTCTAATCCCATGCACACTCCTATAGCTTCAGTTAGTGTGCTAGATATGACTCTTTCCATCTCAGCAGTCACAAAAGTACTACCTTAGCGGTATAGCTGTGCTCGCATAATGGGGAATTTCAGATGGCTTCTGGCCTGTCACTTTTGGAAGCAAAATATGAGCCAATCTGTGCCACACATTGCAAAGTGGGAATAGCGGTGAGTGTGTCTTACTGTAAGTGCTGCCTAAATCTGTGGAGACACTGAATTGACCACTGCTAAATATGATATCTGTCATTGGGAGTCCAGCTAACATCCATTCAAGTTAAAAGACTGCAATATTTTTATTATTTGGAAATAAGGAATATTGAGAGATCTTGGCCATTATTTCAGACATACCTGGTTTTTTACCTTCTATCTGTTTTGAACTAGGTGCCTAAATTTAAAATTATTCAGGATAACATTCTGCATTTTAATTGATGCAGTCATCTCACCTACAGTAGTGCCCTCAGCAGCTTTTTAAAATTTTCTATATGTAACTAAAAATATAATGTTGAAAGACATACTTTTGTGTAAGATATATAATCAGAAGTATTTTACTTGTAACCATAGTGAGAAATGTTTTCACTTATACTATAGGATTAAAAAAAATAATAAAAAGTTCATATCAGGGAAATTTGCAGATTTATTTTGGCAACCACAGTGGCAAAGAGCTGACATGTAAAGAAACAGCTAAGTTCTGTTTCTCGGGTACACCCTCTTTTGCTAAAATACCACAGTATGTTGGTTACTGTGAAATATAAATAATTTCAGTCTTAACTTTGTAAATAGATTTAAAATAAACATTCTTCTCAATTACCACTAAAACCAAATAGAACTTATAATGCAATTCAAGTATTAATTCAACTTTTCCTTTTTAACACGTGAAATGTGAATATATATGTATATTGACTTACACTGTGGGATTGCTAGTGATGTGTTGCGTATTCGTTTTAATGTTCAGTATTCAAAGAGCAGCAGTTCTTACACAAGGAGCTTATATTTAACTGGACAGAAAACATCTAGACAAATTATAAGAAAACTTTAGCATTTTCTTAAACTTTGCAGTAATGAGCAAGAAATATTTGTATTGGTGGGCCTTCTAAGACAGTGTAATTAATTAATCGGTCTGAAAAGTTCCGAATCTTATTTTTTACTAAAAGTCTTTTTTTTCCCTGCTCAAAATACTTTCTATTTTCCTAGTCATTATTAAATATAAACCCTTTTTTATGTGTTTAATGGTAAATAGAAGTATCTGGAGCTACAAAGCTGTGAGAAAAGAAAGGGACTAAGCAATATGAATGCTTATAGCTTCTGGAGATTGAAACAGAGTTGCTGAACAGTGTTCATCCAAAGCAAAGGACAGAGCAGTGCTATAGTGGTTGTTGTTTACCCACGCAAAGACCATTGTGTTTCCATGCTGTAGTATGCTCAGAAGCTTGCTCTCTTCTTTATCTGTCCATTGCTATTTGTGCCTTCTCTCTAAAAGGAAGCAGCAGTGTTCAACTTCTTTTGCACTTTAGGAAGCCTAAAGTCTGTTTTGATTGTGAATTACTTGATGTCTCCCATTTTTTCCTCCTACCCACAGTCTTTCTGTTGAGTGTGGGAGACTTTTCCTGGAATATAGTAGCCACACATATTTGAGTTATGATATGCCCCAGAACCTACTTCACAGTTTTCTACTCATCAGAAGCTATGAAACACTTTGTAGTCAAGTACCTCAAGTTGCTTGAATGAAGGGCAGGAGTGCACAGACTTATTGCTTAAGCACTTGGATAAATTCAGAATTTCCTTGTAGAAACAGGAAGCATCCCAAATCTCATGCCATCTTTGTCAGAATTTGTAGGCTGGTCCATATTAAGTCCTTATTTGTCACCAGAGTTCAAAGGACAAGTCTTAACAATCAGTAAAACACAACTCTTGGGCTCAAAGCCAAAAGATTAATGTTTCTGGGTTGTTTGCTTATCTAGGAGATGTGACTCATTTTGTGTTACAGTTATTTAATACAAGATCATGTAATTTTATATAGCTGATACTGGATCTGATTACTGTTTAAAATGAGTTCATTGCTTGATCAGAGTAAGTAATTGTTACAAGTTTATAAGCACAATAAAAGATAGGATTCACTTGTACTCCACTTGAATCTCCAGAAGGTCACTTTAATGCCATAGTTTGCAGATGTTTTTTACACCTTTTGGATGTCTGGAGTGGCCACTGCAAACTGTTGATCCATCAGCTGCATGCAGAATCGTTTTGTATTTACCACTTTTGCTCTCGGAATAGTCTGAGCAACAGCTTGAGTTCAGGATTTTGACAAGAACTAAATTACTTGTTGAGGGTAATGCAGTCATTCCCAAGCTTTTGGCTTGGTGTGTTAATATTTTACATTCATCAAGTCATTGTGTTGGCCAGACCACAGAGCAGGGAGGCAAGGGAATAAGCTGAAAAGTTCACTACAGTGTAGAGGCGAAATACATGCAAAAATCACTGCAGCTAAATTTGAAGTGTCTGGAAATTATGCTTTACAGTGCTGGCCATCTCTCAAAGTCTCACAATTTTTGTTATTATTCTTAGTTTGAAATGTTTTGTGTTGCAGATCGTGACTGAAATACAGGGAAGGGAAACAATGCATTTCCTGTAGATTCAAATGACTTCTGTACAGATCCAGTTCACATGAGTCCAGATATTCCTGTTCATTTAGAACATGAGAAGTTTCCATGTACATATCACAGCTTTTCTCATAACTTGTAGAAGTTTTTAAGGATGCTTCTCTAATAGGCAGTTATTGTATAATTAATAAATAAAAGTGATTACTGAAATGTTAGTGTTATCTCTTAGGGTATTGTATTTGTTTGAAAATATATATATGAAAGTTTCATGAGCAGTTTTCTTCACCTTTTAGGTATTTACATAACTTGTCAAACTGTTAAAGAAAAGTTATTACACTTATGTTGATTACAGGTTTTTGTTTGAACAAAAAGGGTATGAAATTGTCTCTGGTTTTAGCACACACCCTCTCTACACACCCCAAATCCTGATACAACTAAAGAACTGTTACCCTGTCAGCAGAGCAGAGAAATGCACAAATCAGTTTCCCAGAGGGTATACTATCCAATACACTATCCAATTTGCATAACAGTACTGTTTGGATATGTATTAACAAATGAATATTTAGTCTGGTCTGACAGTATGCTCAAAAAACAACAGGTTGTGGCGGGAAGTATAGAGAAAACAGTATTTGAGGCAAGGCAGGAAAAAAGATACTATGAATTTTTGTTGTAATGTTTTGATAAAAGAAAGCATGAAAACAGTTGTTAAGTAATTACACAGCCTTCCTTCTACCCACCCTAGAAAGGTCTGTAAAGTCCCTGTTATTTAGGAAGCTGGCAAAACATTTCTCTGTTAGAGGTGGAGGAGAGGCACTGCTTGACTTAAAGCATTTCCCCATCTCTAGAATGTTTCTCCTTGCTTTTGAGGAGTCATGACATAGCCAATTAGATGGCCAATTTTCATGCCAGAGGGTGGTCTTCCCCTTAGCAAGTCAATTAAAATATACACTCCTTCCTTGGTTTTCCTTCGAGGTAGTCTATTTATAGCTGTCCATCTGATTTTCATTACTAGAGGCGTAATTGATCTTTTGTCCCATTCTGAAGTTTGTATTCACCTATCTTACAGGTTAGTAGAAAAATTAATTATCCCTCTGGCTACAGATATATCTTGGTACTTCATGAGAAGTTTGTCAGTGTGGGTGGAGTCCTTTGTGTTAGAGTGACACTGGGTGATTAGTGGGGGAGTCAGAGCAGCTTGCATGCTCATGCTTGTACCTGTTGTTACATTGATGTGGTCACTATCAGGGTTTTGGGGAGGTCTGGTAACAAAAACCAAAAACCCACTTCAGCTGAGTTCATTTAAGGAAGAGATTGAAATAGAGATTAATTTGAAAATAATATACTTGGACTGTTCTGTTATCATGAGTACATAATAGAAGGTTAACAAGATAGTAAGATAAGCGAATATTATGTGACTAAAGTGACCATTTTACATGTACTATTTATATAATTTTGCTGTAGTTAATCTGATTGATTGGAGTTCAATGAATTCAGTGAGTTACATGTTTTTACAAAAAACAAAAAGTTGCTCTTTTGTCTGCTTATGATCAAGAGTTTTGTTATGTGTGAATCATTACTTGTGTCTTATTACAGACTTTAGTGGCCTTTATGCCCTTTTGGCATAAAAAGAACACCTAAACATAGTAGTTGTAGATCAGGAGTCACTGTATGTAGGTAGTGTGATGTAATCCTTCAAAATTAATTTGATCTCAGATCATAAAATAAAATATTTGTTGAGTGTATGACACATTCCCTCATTTTTTAAAAATTAAAATAAAAAAATTTGCAGAATCCTGAACAATTCCGTAACTCTGTTCAATTGTGCAAATCCATTAAATCCTAAATTTTACTGGTGTTCTGGGATTTATCTGTAATTTTTGACAGTGTTGTTTGTTAGAAATGGAGTATTATATGTAAATATATAGAACGTTTTGTCCAAATTGTACGGGTTTGTATCTGTACATTGTGATCTCATTATCACTCATTAATTGTCAAATTACCTAAAATTGCTTTCCATATAACCCAGTTGTCCTTTTATGTTATTTTTTTAAGTCTGTATGTCAGTGTGTGGGTGACAAACAGGTAGAAAAATTTCTCCAGCTTCCCAAACATGAAGTATTTTTCTTCTCCTCTCAAAAAATTACACCATATAACAAAAGTAGGAAGAAAGCACGCACATCCTTTGCAAAGCCAGTCTGTTGGGTCATGCGCAGAGCACAGCCAAGCACTGAGACTGAGATTGTATTGACAAGAACAAGATGAATGGCCCCCTGGAGACTATGGGGTTTGTATGCTCGTTTCCACCACCTTTTCATCCTTTTGTACCCCCTTTCAGTTCATATGCAGATTAACTCAAACCAAGTCCACACTAAATACTCTTTTTCACTTTAGTTTTGGAAGGTAGGTGGAGGATCTAAATATTTATGAGCCTTTTTTCCTCTGGTTTATGATGCACTCTTGTTGAAGGTTGAGGAATTACGTTAATGAATGCATGCCTGCACACACAGACACAGAAACCAGGCAAAAGGAAAAAAAACCACACAAAGCGTTGTCAGCTCTAATGTCGGCGCTTACTAAAACAGTTCCCATAAAAAAAAAGGCAAAGAGATTTAAAATCCATTGCCAGGAGAAAAATAAATTGTATGACTGAGCACAAAAGAAAGAACAAAGTTTCATCTTTGCTTTCCTCAGTTGTAAATGAAACTCTTGTTTCAGCTCTGAATAAATTTGAAATAGAACGTGTTAATTGAAAAATGAAAGCTTGTCTAAAAAGTCTTAACTGGATTTGTGTTTTCAGTAATGAAGAAAAGGCAAAGCTTTGGTCCTGTACAGTTTAACATCGGTAGTAATAAACATGGTAGTATTTTCTGATATGATAAAAGGTGCAGTTAAGTATGCTTTAATGAGACAAGTCAGATAACTCAGTGAGGCTGGTTTTGCCATGATTTTGCCAACTTCAGTACATTTATCCAGGAGAGTTAGTTTTTGTGAGACTAAAGGTTTTTCTGAAAACTGTCTTTTTTTCAAAGCTAAATGGAATATACCGAGATTATAGCTGGATATACTAGAATATTTATTTTCAAAATTGTTAGTTCAAAACTAACTTAAGGAATATGCCTTTCTTAGATGGAAGACTATATGGCATTAAAATACTAGTACTGAAATATGGGTATTTTAATTCTTTTAATACTGCATTGTCAAGAAGAGTCAACTGTTCGACTTCTAATCATCTCTGCCTTCCTTCTACCCCTTTTTATTCTCCAAAACACACATAGCAATGCCAGACAGGGCCACAGCTCACACAAGTGGGACAGTAAATTCTTTCACATTCAGGAACCAGAACATGAGATTTTAAAATGTGCTTTTGTGCTATAATTTAAAACCTACTGAAGCAATTGCAAAATACTAGCTCTTCAAGTGCAATAGTATTTAACTGTCTAGGCTCAGTTTTTCATGTTTATAATATGCCTATCTGAAGTTACTAAAACATTGTCCTAATATTTTCATCTTCTTATAGTACTTTGTTTTCAAGATATTCAGTTTCATCTGTAATTAAATCCAATAAAGCCATGTATATTTAATTTATTCTAAAGTTATTGTTTACGATCTTAAAATGCAGATTTTGCTATTTTCAATTACTTTGCTTGTGATATTCAAGGGTTAAGTGAAAAAATTTGGTTTAGCAGATCCCAAAACAGTAAAGAGGTATACGACCTAATAGCAAATTAGTATTTAACAACTGAAATCGCATCACTTTTGTTTAATCTTTCATCCTTTAGTCTAAATCTTCTCCCTCTTGCCTTTTCTTTTCCCCCTACATAGCCAGTTGTGACCACAGATACAGTTTTAGATATTACTTAAGTACTTAAGCTCCTTGATATGAACAAAAAAAAATCTCAGTTCTGTCTCTTAACTGGGGAGATTTCAAACTTACTTGGATTTGTCCATCCTGGGCAAATTGAAGCACTTATGTAGTATCTTAGCGAAACAGATTTGCACATCTGTACAGTGAAATGCCTCTTTTCTTTCTGTGGGTGGATTTGCAGGTGGGGGATGCACGACTTCCTTATATATATGTATAGCACACAGTGCATTAATAGGAAAATGAAGAAAATGCATCAAGCTAATAAATGTTGGAAGAGAAAGCATCAGGGAGATGAGATACTTGAATACGCTTTGAAGAAGGAAGATGCAGGGGTAGAGGCAGGCATAGGACAGCTTTTATATGGAGGACAGTAAGGGAAAAACAAAGTTGAGAGACTCCTTGGCTTGAGCAGGGGGCTTTGGGGCTCCCTTTAAGCTATTAACACTCCCAATTGGAGGAAAAAAATAGCACACCAGCCAAGGTCCTTGAAAATAGTTTTTTTGGGGGATAAGAAAGGTGGATGAACTATAGGCCTAAATCAGGGAACAGGCATGTTCTACAGGACAAGAGTCCTGTAGAAGGCTTTATTTTATAATACCAAATAAGTACAGCCCCCACCCCCCAAAAATTATTATGATGCTGATAATAATGAATAAATAAATAAATTCAAAATTCCCAAATCCAAAGAGCTTATAGCCCACAGGAGTGCCATATTAATGATAAGGAAAGCAATTATCTGTACTTTTCCCAAAAGGAAATGGCACAGGAAAGTACAGGAATGTACAAAGATGAGCCCAAGGTAGGCGTGTCCCTGTCATCTGCATCTAAGTCCAGCATGCTGGTTTTAAGGACAAGCCTGCTTCTCCAGGCTCAGAGGTTCATGTGGAAAGGGAGGAGCCAGAAAGTCCTGCTTCCAGACAGTGAAAACGCACAAATAAAACACTAATGCTTTCAGTGGATTCTTAAATGCAAGACCATGAGCCTACCTAGTGATCTGCCTTATGAAGTTTTGTTTCAAAAACAGCTAAGGGTACGAGCATATTCCTTACTCTCCGGATCAGAGAATCCCACAATGGATTCAGACTTTAGGTCCTTGGGCAAAATCCTAATTCCTGTGGGGAAAACAACAAAAAGAAGAAAAGGCATGGAACTGACAATAGAAATTCCCCTTTGATTGTTTGTACTCACATTTCTACCATTTTTCCATTCAATTTGCTCAAATACAGAAATCACAAGATATGGAAGAATTTTAAAAAAAAAACAAAAAAAACAACAAAAAAAACAACTGGAAACCACCAAACACAAAACCCACACACCACTAGAAATTGCAGGTAAGTTCTCTCAGCACTCAACCTTTGTGGTGAACACTAAAAATGAGCAATCTTCCTTTTTCTTAAGGCTGATTCTGAAGTGTTATCACATTATGTCTGAAGGCAGTGGGGTGCAACCATGTGTTTTCAAGAAAGTACTTTCATGAGTCCACTTCATCTTGAGGCTTGTATCTTTCCAAGTGGCATCCTGCATAAATTTGCCTTTTTTTTCCTTCCCAAAAAGAAATTTCCTACAGATGAATCACAGCATTCTAAATGGAATCCGCCACCTGCCTAAGCTATGAGAAGTCTAGCTGTTTCCATTTAACAGTCATCTCACAGATGGGAGGTGTATCTCCACGGATGGCACCGAACTGAAAGGGAATCTGAAGGGCTTGGTTTTTTGGGGGGAGTTTGATGTATGTGCTTACAGTATTTGTCTTTTGGTGCCTGAACAACTGATTTAGGTGTAAAACTTGAAAATTCTCTGTCTCCTGCACTCAGAGATGTCTCAGTTTCTGCTGATAGATAGAACTAAGAGCTCTTAGCAGACAGAAAGGTACAAGGGGCTGAAGCCACAATTACCAAAATGAGATGTCCTAAGACAAATTTCTCAAAAGACATTCCCCTCTAACATTAGGGGGGGGAAGCAATTTTGTTCATCATCTCTGCAAATATTGATAGAGCAGGCCTACAAATTTTTTTAAGTTGTTATGGATGATGCTGGCTTTTTTCTTCTTATACAGAAGCAATGTTCAAACTCCTAGTTCAGATTCATAAGCATAGTTCTATTAAGACTCCTCTGCCAGTTTAATGTCCAGGAATATCTTTCAGATGCCTAACCATCATTAATTAATTGATGAAGGAACCTAAGCCTACCTCTAGACACAAAGATTTATTACCTTGGGTACAGAACTTCTTCGAGTGTCATAACAGAAAGGCTGTAAGATGCTGGTAGAGTAAAACAGAACACCATTCCTCCCTCTGACACAAATCAGCTTCAGATTTCTTCACAAATCATCAAGAGGTTAGCTGTTGTTCTTCAGGCAAACAGCTTCCAATAGCAACAGTGCTGACCTAGGAAGGAGGAAGGTGGATTTGGGAGAGTTTTACTCTCCAAGAACAGTATTTTTCTTACCCTGCTTTCTCCTATTTGATTTTCTCCATGTAAAGGGGGAAGGGCAGAAGAATAGGTTCTCTTTGATAGCTGTTTTCTTACCTGTTGCTTTTGCCAGCAGAATCTGCACACTTTATAGATACAGAGTGATTATTTGAAAGGCAAAAGATGATACAGGTAAAACTTGCACACCTATTTGAAGGAGAACACAGAATAAACTGATATGAAGCCTGTGCAGTTATTCCAAGAATAAATATTCCCTGTTTCCGAACATCATAATTTGCCTCCATTCCATTTCTTGACATTTTTTTAAGCAATAATGTTGCTAATTTGATTTTCAAGGATTTTCTTTATAGAAGCATGAGAATTTTGGTTTTAAGAACTGTTGGATATCAGGAGTTAAATCAATGGAGGAAGCTTACGGAAGCCTCAAGAATCATTTCATCCTAAAGATCACCCAGTGTTCCTAAACTGTGTGGATGGAATGTGTTCCCGTAAGTGTAATGCGTAATGCCACCAAATATCAATGCACATAAGTCGAGTATTAATTACGTAGAATTTGGGAGCATTCTAAAAGTCTATTACTGAATCAAATATCTTTTGATTTTTTCATTTGTCAAAAGAAAGAAATCGTCAAAGCTGGAAACTGATCAATTAACATTTTGTGATATTTGTCTGAAGAAGGTAAAAGGGTTTGTTTTGTTCTTTAAACAGTTTACTAGAGTGATTTTTAAGAATAATGTCATCTAGATAAGAGTAATGATCTAGAAAGACACTGAAATGAGACAAAAGAAATCTGAATTTCATGTCAACTTCTGATACGGGTTTTTGTCTGCATCTCCGCTAAAAAGTTAATCAAACAGAACCAGGACTGAGCTGCAACCATAACGCTGATCACCGTGGGCTGGTCATGTTCATACTGTTAAGGTTTTATGAGGTTACAGCATGGTAACCTGTCAAACGGTGCCCACAAGTCTTTGGGAAAGTGCTAGTTGACCTTGAGGGAAAACTGTCCAGGGGCTCTTCTGACACCTGAGCAGCACTGACACTGGGATGCGTTTCCTTGCACTGTTGAATTTCTCAGTGCACATGTAATACCCATGAGTTTGATCAGAGCATGGGACTGTTCTATCACTAAGTGCCCCATTAGTGGGGAATAACTATTTTTCCTTTCTTCCTCTTCTTATCTGCTACATCTGTTGGGATTATGGTATCACTGGTAAAAATAATCTCTCTCTGTTATGGGTAAAAAATCTATTACAGTCAGAACATAGCTTTAATTTGAAGTTATTCCATACTACATTAATTAGAGTAGCAACAAAAAGATTTCCAAAATTTAGAAAAGTCTGATAAAAGAAATCTTAGCTCCCCTCACAAGTGAATCTGTAAATATACTAATATACAGTAGATGTGTGTATATATTTTTTTAAAATATACTATGGAAGAGTTCTTCATTACTGCATTCCTCTGCCAGGAGAATTAAGATAACAATCTAATACACAGCTATTTGAAAGAAATGTTCTAGCTAATTAAATAAGCTTATTCTTGCATTATGAATGACTCCTCCAAATACCTGGATATGTTTCCACATAGGCATATATGACATTTCACTCAAAAGTGACAGTGTTTAACAAAGAAAACAAAGGTAATTAGTCTTTTCTTGGTAATCTTTTATATTATCTTTTAAGATCAGGTTACATACCATATCATTTAAATTATAGCACAAAAAAACTGCTTAAGAAAGATGAAATTGCTGCAGAAATGAGGGACAGCACAAGTAAAATAGAACCCAAGCATGGGACAGGTGTTTTAATGCCTCCATACTTGGGAGTGAATTTTTTTCTAACACTGGTAGCTGTGCATGAAACAAATGTAGTAAAGAAAACAGCAAAGGATAACAGTAACTGCACAGAGAGGGACCTTGCACAATACAAAACAAAGAAAACCAACTTAGTAAATTGGAAACTTTAAACCAGGAATTCAGAAAACTAAATATTTCTTCTGTTCCTCTAGTAATCATAGTTCCAAGTAAAAATGGGTGAAATAGCCATGAAATAAGCAAAGTAGCTGTCTAATCATACTTTGAAATGGCAATCTACAAATACTCCAGACTTCTGGATTTACTAGCTCCGTCAAAAATGTGCATTTAGTACTAGCTGCCAACATTTCTAGGGACAAATGTATTAAATAAATACTACAGTGCGTGGCAGAGTTTCCTCAAGTGATGGTAAATGATGTGACTTTGCAAACTGATACAGTACCTCCTCCTCCCTTGGTCCAGGGAAAGGAGGAAAAAAAAGGTGATTGAGCCAAACACTTATTAAGGCCCTTCAGATCTGATTAAAGTCAGATTGCAGGAAACATTTAATATAAAATATAAAACACAACCTTAGTTAGACACACACATCTCTGAAGATATCAATAAATGTTTCGTTTTTGATAAGTGAGATTTAATGTACTGAAATACAGGAATGTTTCTGAAACGTCATTCAAGGAAGCATGAGAAATAAACAAGCTTAAACATTTAAAACTCAACACCAATTAGCAGACCACTCTTTTTTTAAAAAATCTGAAATTCAATTTTATTTAGCTTCAGTCAAATGCAATGAAGACTTCGTTTTGAGAAGAATTGGGTTTGGGCCTTGAGAAACAGTTTTTGAGTTTGTATCTTCATTCACAGAAGGCTACATAAGCAACAAAATGTGTTGGATGCTTTAGGTTTTCGCAGTGAATCAGAAAATAAATTTAAGGACAGACCTCCCCATCTGAATTGGTTTTTTGTCTATTTGTTCTTACCTTTGCATGAAACAGAAACTGCGAGGTCAGAAATGGGATCTCTGTCTTATGCAGCTATCTGGTAACAGCACCGAGTTCAGCTTAACCATGCATGTTCTTAGCAATTTCAAGCAAAGTCTTCTGTGTCCATTCAGAGAAGAACTTTCACTCCCTTTTGGCCATTTACACCACAGAAAAGCTTTTGCAATTTGCTTAAAACTGCCAAGAACAAAGCTCCAATATCTCTTCTTGTAAAGGTTTCTGTTCCAGTTCAGACTTGGAGCGTTTGATTTGTGTTGAGTGGTAGCTTGCTGGTTGTATTTCAGAGGTGACAACAGAAGAAAAAACTGTCACAAAGAAAGATCTGCAGGAAGAAATGAGGACCCAATGTGTCTCCAGGGACAGGAGAGGGCTGAGGAGAGGGTTTGTGTCTGGAGCCAGTGAAATAAAGGTGTGAAATAAAGTAGTGACAGGATTCTTAAATCTCACATCATGCCATGACTGTTCTGTGAAGAAGCCCAGGGCTGCAGAACTAGGAGATCTCTTTACTCTAGAACTATTTTCTTGCCAGCAAGGAAGAGGAGAATGAGCATTCCTACATGAATGCAACCTGTGAGAACACTCACCTGCATCTGTGCTGATATGACTTGATTTTGTCACAATGGTTACCTGAGTATTGGTGAGCACAGTTTTTCCCGTGTGAAAGTGAATGGCCTCAGTTATTCTGCTGTCATGGGATGTGAAGCAAACAATTACTTTTGTTCAGGTTTTTGTAATTCAGAGTAAGAATATGCGAGCATAAATTCAGCAGTGGATTTATACTGCAGTCAGTTCATGAAACCAGGTAATACTGCTTTTTAAACTAGAGAGAAGATTCAAGCCCACCTGACATCGATGGATAACTTAATTCAGTGATGCCAGCACTTCATCCCTAATTTTCCATTAGAATTATTAAAATTACAACATACCTTTGAAAGAGGCTTTTCTTAAAAATAAATAAATAAATAAAACAGTATTTTTAATTTCAAAGACTGTATTTGGAAGGTTTTAAAATTGTGTCTGATATGTACAATAAAAATGGCAAATATTTCTTCTGCATTATTGTTTTTAATATCAGATATTTAAACAGGTATTTAAAAGACCACAGAATAAGCAGCAGTACAAATCATAGAACACCAGAAAACTTCACAATATCATTAACTATAAATAAACTGAGTCTTAAACTCAGCATTTTGTATTTCTTCATGACATGACTACCTTAAGAGACATCAAAAGCATAAGACACTTTTTAAAAAGTTAAAAACCATGCAGATATTAACTGTGACATGCAAATGTATTACCAAAGAAGATAACTGAAATTTTTTTATATTCCTATATTACTGATTATACCACATCAAAGAAAAACGTGCATTTCAGCAATGTTTTTGCTGCATTAAAATCAGTGGAACTGCCCACCCAGGCTGTCACAGTATACTCAGTGAAAGAAGGTGGATACTGCATGATGTCTTCTTAGGTAATCTCTTTTAAATAATTTGCATGTGGTGCTGGACTATGTCGATATTTCCCTTCAATCCACTGGAATACTGAAGTAGGCAATGCATTATGAGGCCTTTGATGAAGGGAGGCAGGGAAAGGAAAAGGCTCTAACTCGGGTACTTCTCACTCCTGGTCTCTATCCTTCATAAATCTTGGGGGGGGCGGGGGGCAGGGTAAAGGCACTGTTATTGGAAAGCTTGTTTTTTCAAAAGTAAATGAAAAAAGGAACATGCAAAGAAGATGTTCCCGAGGATGAGAACATACAGAGGTTTCTTCTGCATCCCCCCCACCCTTGCCACCACCCCAACATGGTTATGTTTTCCAGAACTTAAAAAGCACTGAGATGACTTTACCCCTTCTCGGAGAAAGCCTCAGTCTAGGCAGATGGGAAGTAGGCCTTTTTCTATTCACTGCCAGAAAAACTCAAATATTTATTGGAATCTGTGATGCACTTAAGGAAAAGGAGCGTGAACTGCAAACAGTGAACAGAAAGAAAGGAGCAAACTAATGCTGTGGGTGCCAGGTCACCTGCAGAAGAACGCCTTCTCTGAAGCAAGAAGGCAAATGTTCAGCAGTGCCTATAGGGATCAGAAGCTATAGAGAGAAGGAAAGGATTTAGCATACAGCTTTAGTGCCTTTCAACCTCAGCAGCAGAAAAAATGTAACATGAAAGTAGAAAAATGCAAAGAATTGGAGCAAAGAACAAAATGAACCCAAGAGGAATTCAGAGGGTGGTGTCGAAGAATACTTGTCGTGAACGGGACAGAGCAGTCACAGTAAGGAGGTGATAAACAGAGTGCCAGAGGCATGACGGCATGTGCTGTGGAAAATAAAGTTTGTAACTACGGACATTTTAAGAATGCATTCATTCACTGAATACAGTGCACAGAACACAATGTCTGGAGGGCCAGGGCACTGTTCCTCCCTGAAGTGTTAACCCACTTTTTCTTTAAAAGTTACTTTTTTTGGTGTTAGACCCTACTGTGATACACATCACTGAAACTTTCTCCTTCTTTTGCCTCTGTTTTACTGAGTAGGAAAGTTCTATGACTTTCCATCTGAATTGTTTT